CATAAAAGTTGTACAGGGTGAAAATCAGGAGTTAATTGCTGGTGATTATCAGGATATTCCTGCAACTCAATACTTTACAGGTAAGATTGTAAAGCTTTACTGTTAAGAAACACACTACATTGTATATGTAATTGATTAGTAATGATAATTTATATTAAGTGGTTAAAATTTTTCTATTACAGATGTCAATTTTACATTTAGTATCAATCTACGTTTATCAGGTAACAATTATGGAAATATACCAATTATAGAAATTTATGTTAATGGTTCATTTGTTGAATATTGCCCACTGAAACACAACTTGGAGAGTGTAAGATTTTTAATGCTGAATGGAGACATTGAAAAGGTGAACAGATTAGATTTTGAGTTTTCATGAAAGTCATAATATGCCCTGAACTCTAATAGAACCAACTTACAGATATATTGTTTAAATATTGTATTCATACACATCACACATGTGTTATTGTGATACATATTATGTAGAATTTTTATATTATAAATGCAAAAACAATAACTGTTTGGTGCATTGTTGGTTTCAATTTTAAGCCCAATATTAGATATCCATAACAAATTAAGATTTTGAGTTTTCGTGAAAGACAAACTGCACTGAAATTTATTTATAATAGAACCATCTTACAGAAATATTGTATTCACACACATCACACATGTTATTGTGATACATATTATGTAGATTTTTTATATTAATAACAGTAATTATAAATGGAACAAACAATAACTGTTTGGTGCATTGTTGGTTTCGATTTTAAGCCCAATATTAGATATCCACATACATAACATATTCACATTAAAAATATTTTCTTTTGCAAATTTAACAGGGAAAGGAGAAAATGTTTGATGTTGAATATTAAAAGCAAATTATAGAATTATTTAATAGCACAAGATCCCAATAATGCCAGAGCTTACTTATTTTCTCATGGATAATTAAGTAGTATTAGTGTGAACAATGAATGTAAACATACTCGCTAACTTTGAGCTGTGGTGCTGGCAGTCTTGAGATCTTACTCTATGATTATCTATGTATAATTACAATTTAGTCGCTGCTTTTCCCACCAGGTATTTAAGTATTTTCTTTAAGTTGGATAGTTTGTGCATTTACATTTATGCATTTTATTTTAATACTATACTGCAGTGTATTATGATTAGTTTTAATAAAACAAGAATAAGCATACATGAGTGATCTCATAATTAATAATCTTATATTTTGAACTTCCATTAAAATAATACCAAATTATATGTTCAGGTTATTGTGGTCATTAAATCACCACATAAAGGATATTATATATGTAACAATAAGCAAAAGTCTATACTGTAAGATCTATTCGTTTGCCATAAAATATAGAATACAAAATATAATATGTATGGTGAATAGTTAAGCAAAGAAAAAAGGAAAAAGTAGTAGCTATAAAAGTGTTCCGACCAGATCATTTTATTGACTGATTTCAAGAACTGTAACCAAGAACTTATAATAATATATTCATTAATAAGAGAAAATGTTTTTAATGTTATTATCATGTTAACAGTTAAGTTGCAGTCCAAATAATTATTATTTAATATTTTCCAGTATTATTTGGTTGTTATACTTTAATTTAATTACATATTGTTTCAGCATAACTATTTATCATCAGTCATCACTAATATTATGTAATGTCATTAAAAATATTAAATGAATAAATGCAATTGCCAATATTTTTATTTTATTTTATTGGTCATCATCATCTCGGCCGTACGATGCCCACTGAGCATAGATCTCCCCCCCCCCCCCCCCTAAGATCTCCACACCGATAGGCCCCAATGCCTGATACTGAGAATATTGTTTCGATATTCTCAGTATCGACACTGATTCCACTCTAATTTCAATGCTGTCCACTATGAGAGCATTTCTTGCAGAAACCGAATACCCCCCCCCCCCCCCTGTTGATATGGGTTGCCTTAACAACGTACTTCTAGTCATTCAAAACGATATCATAGGGATTTCAGTGCTTAGGATTTGGTAAAATAAAAAAAAATCAAATTAACCATGCATCCCCTGACGACTTGACACAACTTTTGGAATATCTGACTGTACTGCTATAATAGTATCACAGTTAATGCTCCCAGATAAGACAAGGACACCTACTTTGTTGGCCTATTGCTCACTGGAGCCCCTTTGGGTTAATCGGATCACTGCCTGATATCCACCAGAATGCTGAATGCCTAGCCTTTGCAATAAGCAGTGGTCAAACGCTGGATTTGACAGAATGGATCGGATCGGAAGAATAGGGAGTCACGGGACCGTATGCGTCCGACCCTTGGAGGCAAAAGTCAACATTTCAGTGAAAAGAACCTATTGATCCTAGCCATTACTATTACTGAGACGATCGGAATTTGAATGGAACAATAATGTAGTCTTCTTTAATGTGGAAGTTTCTTTCCCAGATGTCCGTTAGATTTCTTCAGTGATGGGTCCCTCTGGACCAGTGCCGGTCTTTGACCTATTGGAGGCCCTGGACATATTAGGATAATGGGGCCCCTCTGACCCCCGTTTGGTGATTTAACAGGAACTAGGGACTTTGTATTTGATCAGAGGGGGCCCTGGGCACTTGCCCAAAGTGGCCACTGGGAAAGACGGGTCTGCTCAGGACAGATATCCGTTAAAATTCAATTAGAACTGGAGTTCTAATTTATTTAATTATTGACGTCGGTTTAATGTTTTACGTTAATGATAATATTATTACTGACGTCAATATAATATTATATGCCGATGAAATAAGTAAGGAAAGTTTAGGTACTACTGTTGACTGTACCTATCTTAACTTTCCTTACATATTTCATCGGCGTTTAACATTATACTAAAGTCAGTAATAAATTATCCTTCTTAGATAATTAAATTTACAACTTCGCCATTAAACTTTATAATTAGGAAAAATATAATTTAAAATATTCATATTTACAATTGGACGTTCGAATAGGCTAGTTGACACTTTTTGGAAATATGTTTTAAATGGCTAATAATTGTTCTATTAGACCGAAAAAAAACCTATTGTAATTTTTTTTTACCTAGAAAGCTACAAAACTTTAATTTTAAAATGGATTTTTCATGGACATACAAAAACGCTGTCGGCCATTTTAGTCGATAGATTATCTATATCTATGCTATGACGTCAACAAAATCGTAAACAAACATTCGGAAGCACGTAGTAAATAACCTGATTCTGAATTTATATTATAAAACCATGATTTTTAATAGATTTCATGATAAATATAATAATTATCATGATTGTATTATACGAGAATGTAGAAACACATCGTTAAAGACTCCAGAAAAGTTGTGGTTTAAATTGTCTGGAAAAATACACAACCTACACATAAACACAGTCATGTTTAAAACTTGCTAAATCCTGTAAATTTACCGTCTAAAAGACATTTCTTTTAGACAAGATCACTTTAATGTGAGTACTCATTGAATAATATTTTTAGTTTAAAAATACAAATTTTAAGGTTATAAATGTCAAAGAGTTTGTCGTTTGTGCTTTCACAAATCCGGCGTCCAGCTCTAATTTAGTTATCAAAACCAATTAAACGGATTTTTTTCTACAAGTTTTTAGATATTTTTAGTCCGACGAAAGACACCACAGTAACACGACAATGACGTTTAGTTGTTTACTAACACATATACTAACTTGTTGACGTCACAATCATGGTGGACAGCGTTTTGAATGTTTAAAAAGCATAGACTAAAAAAAACATTTTTGAAATTAAATTACTACAGCCATCTTCTAGTCTTATGAAATGAAATCGATGTATTTAGCTTCCTTATACCAAACATTATAAGAAATAAACATTTGTTTAATGCAATTTAGTCAACTAGCCTATTAGTTCGGTGTTATTGTTTGATATGATGCTCACAGCCGCCTTTTACCATCGACAGGAAGTTCATCCTCACACCTAAGTGTCTAGATCAAGTACGTACCAAGTGTGGTTTCGAACACACCACGTCGCACGAGCACGATATAGTTGTGGAAGTAACTTCCTGACACAGTTTTCCCTAAGAACTACAATATGGTGTTCTTCTAAAAGGATGACGAAAAAGAATAAATTGAGCTATTTTTAGAGCTGATATTATAATTTGTAGTAGCGGTAAATGCAATTTGTTGTCACATGCATGGAGGGGGATATTAAGATCCTATGTTTTTTTTTTATATTATTCTTGGCATTTCCAGTCCTTTATTTTCCGTGACAACGATATTAAAACCACAAGATACACTACGTGTGCTTAAAATTTGTCTCAATAAAGAAGTGCTGAACTACCACTCAAGCACTTCTTGGTTCACAGTTACGCGCGGACCGTTGAAAAGTCAAGATGCTGAAGAAGATGATGAAGCTCTGTTAAAAAAATACTTTTAGTAGGTGGAGACGTTTTTTTCGACAGGTAACTAATCAATGTTTGTTAATTTAACGCACTTGAAGCCAATTTTGTTGGAATACTTACTATAAACTGATGTACTAGAAAATATTTGTGATATCCAAATGCATGGTCGGTTTTATAGCCATTTCTTTTTCTCGTGCCTCGTACCTGCTATATTGCTAACATAGCGCATTCAGAATTACGATATAGAGTCATAGAAATAAAGTCTATATTTTCCGCGTATAGCAACAAGTCGTAAAATTTTACGAGCTTGTATTTGAAACTGTCATAACCCTTTGACGCAAGCGTTTAAATTAATACCTTATATACTATGCATTAATGGTTAATTTGAATGTTTAAATAAAGCCTTGTATGGTTTTTGACTAAGCAATAATCTTACGGAGCTCCATGGATCGTCTAAAGTACCTTTTGGACAGGTTTTGGCCTCGATTTTGTTTGTGATGCTGTATCTAGGATATTAAATATCGTTGTTCCGTGATAACAAAACTCAAATATTAGTAATTGAAAGTCCATTAATAGAGATTTAAATGATACGCCTGCGTGAAAACATAAGAAATAATCAAATTATTCTTACCGACTGTTGTATACCGGACGTAAGTCTCCTGATTGTCCATCATGGCGTCGACAGCTTGCTTCTCACAATACAATGCTGTGACGACTGCTATGCTCGGTTGGCGCGACGAGCACAAAGTCGGCATTTGTTTCACCACCTAAACAAAACGTTTATATTGAATGCTTACTATATAAACAAGAGCACTTGGTGAAAAAACTATTATTGAGACAATACTGGTATGCAGCATATGACAATTATATACACCACATTGGTACTGTAACGCCCGTTGCGTTACGGCCTCTTTGCCTGTGTAAACTCTGTTTATGTAATGGCTACGGCTGGCAGTTATATCAAAACGTTATGTCATTATTTTAAAAAAATTAAATTAGAAATCTCCTGTCTTATGATAGAAGATTCCAGCAGATTGAATTCAGGCACCAGAACATACGATTATCTATGACGCTATAATTATTATATTCGCCTTGAATTCGTATGGTTGAAGAAAACTTTTGAAATTAATGAATGAAATTGAGCACAGAGGCCCGAGTTTTTGACAGCTTCGTAAAGTATCGAGTATCGTTATGGTCAAATTTTGTTGTTGAAAAAGCTAGTTTATACATGGTGTCAGTGGCGCTGCTTAGTTTTTTCATAGAAACTTTGACGATGCGATACGTTAGCGTTAAGCAGCTGTCAAAAACTCGTGCTTGGGCCTCAGGGATAGCTTATGGTGCGGGTAATAAAGGCAACTTAATAATTTGAAGCATACCTGCATTATAATATTGCGAAATTCTAAATGACGTTTCGTTATTTTATTAGCTAAATGGAGGCCTTCTTTATCTTGCAAATTATTTAGTTTTTCTAGAAAATTCCAATAAATTTCATTTCATGTGGGAACCTTTCGAAGACGAAGATTCAGTATTGCTGAATGCACTAGAAAAAGTTAAGGATGATTTTACGAGATCACAGAATTCTTGGATGTGCCGCGCCATACATGTCGAATTTTAAAAACCACGTTGTTGGATACGTAGCCGGTTTTGTTATCAAGTTCTTAACAAAAAAAAAATGCTTTCATTGTATTGATAATTGAACTGCTAAAAATCATTGTTGGTTTCATAAATTTGTGATGTTAAAAGATAGAGGTGGATTATCATATGCCTCTGAAGATGTATTTTTAATATGCTTGGTTTCCGAATCCATAATACAAAATATAGATGAAGTGTCGCACATATAATCATATTTAATATATAAAAAAATTGTAATTGATGTCATGAAAAAAATCATCGGGACGGGATCGAAACGAAACGATCGGTTCTAAAAAATATTTTGATTTCGACTCAAGTCATGTTTATGGTGCCATACATCAAATTAATTTTATTCGACTAGTAGTGAAGAAGTTTATACAAATACGACTCCATTACATTTCGAAGAAAGAAGGAATAATCAGGAAATTTTAAAAGGCAAATTTATCGTAAACTTGTGCAAGTTAGTGGCATGTAATTTTAAATTTTTGATAATAAACTTTATTCTTGCGTTACCCTGCTCATTTTAATAGTTTTAACTATATATATTGTTATTATAGTTTTATTTGAATTTCTAGTGTCTGTATGGTTAATTATAATTATAAATTTACTCAACACTGGTGTCGATTCGGGCATGATTCTCTAAACTTAAAACTAAATTTAACATCAGTCCCTCCTTTTCATTCTGTATAGAGAATGACAAGGATACACTGATGTCAAGTTTAGGTTTAGAGAATCAAGCCAGAATCGACACCATTGACTTTAAAGAGTTATAAAGATACTAAATGTATAATAAATATAAATATTTATATATATCGAAAGTCTCACATCTATTAGCCTAGCTCCCGGGACCTATGACCTATGAAGGCCCACACCATCAAAACTGGCGTACATACCACTCAGACCACGGAGGCACTTATAAGAATTTGTAACCAAACTATTGACAGGTGGGATAAAAATAAAGAAACTAACTATATGGCAAGCGCGATAAAATTATAGGAATCGCGCCTCCGTGCATCACGTATATTTGCAAAAAAAATAAAAATACTAAAAATTATATATATACATTAATTCATATATTATGTACGGATTTTGTAAGTGTTATTGTTAGTGTGGATCGACAACAGCATAAAATATTTTCCCTATTACTGGGGTAGCAGTTGAGCAGCTGGCTACACTTTTTTTGACATACGACACCGTCCTTGCAAAGTTGTTTTTTGAGAGCGCGGTATCTAGTGGAGTGAAGCGAGACCAATCATTCATCTATGGCGGCATATTTAAAGAATAGATGTCTATTTTCAATTTTATTTATTTTGTAACCGAAAATGTATCTACCCAGTGTTTAGACATCGTATTGTTACCTAATATATGATTTTGATATATCATCGCGGAAATGGCTTATTTTTACTTATATTACCTTTTTTCTTCGCGGTGCTAAAAATTTGTCTTAAGTAGACTGGCACAAAATTATGATGATTCAAAGATTCATGTTAGTTTTACTTGTTAAAATGTCTATCCGTGTTAAGCCAAATTCCCATACAAAGTGGCCATTGCCCTTTGCATTATGATTTGTTATAAGTTACAAAATAGCTCTCCGCGAAAGCTTGAAAAGATGAATTCTTATACAGGAGCATTTATAAATAACAAATAAATTCCTTTAAATATCACTAAAAAACGATCAAATAAAATTCCGCATTAGCAAAACCAGTATCAAGCATTTTTTTAATGCAATCCGTGCAGTAAATATATGGTGATCTATTTATGGGGTGCCATAATAAACCGTCGGCTTACATACGTCAGTGACATATGTCGACTTAGTGAAATAGGGCCCTGATAGTTTACCAGAGGGCCAAGCACGAACTTTGACAGCTCCGTTATGGTACCGCATCATCAGTTTCTATAAAAACTAAACAGCGCACCTACCGGACGTACGAAGAAACAGGCCTTCCACACAAAATTTTAGGATGATGACACGATTACAGAGCTATCAAAGTTCGTGTTTGTGTCTCTGATTCTACTAGCTTGTTGTCATCTACGTAAAGAAGGTCAATAGATATTAAGACTTCGATAAAGGACTTTTATGGAGAAATTTTTATAGTTAATTTATTCCAAACCGACGAAGTTGTAGGCAGTTGCTAGTATGTATGTATGCTCAAAAATTACGAAAAATATATGAATATATTACCTGGGTATCAACACTGTGTTGTCTTATGTATAAACCATCGGACATAGCTCTCGTGAGACCTTTCTCTTCTAAAGACTCTAATGCATCCTTAACTTCAGCCTTAGACCATTTGCCAGCCCTAAAAATAGACAGAAATTCATCAAATTGTATTAAAATTTCGAGTTCTGTAAAAGATAAATGCACTCATAGATTTTAAAGAAATGCTTAATGTTTAATATTATATTATTTTATGTAAAGGTCTATTATATATACATAATACACAGTCAGGTCATAATTATTGTCACACAGTAAAAACTTTTCTTTTAGTATGCTGGCCACAAAAAAGTTTATTGAATTCTAATTTCGAATTGTTCATGAGAATAAAAATGTATACGTTTTAGAATTTTACTCATTTTTAAATATGGAGTGGACGCTTAAAGAAGACCGTGTTGCAGTTATTGCGTTGCATCGTTGCGGTTACGCGCCAATTCAAATTTTTGACATACTGAAAAATTTGAATATAACCAAAAGATTCGTTTATCGTACCATCAAACGATACAATGAAGACTCTAGTGTAGATGACAGGCCAAGAAGTGGTCGCCCTCAGTCTGTTAGGACTCCAGCAGTGATAAAAGCTGTGAAGGCACGAATTCAAAGAAATCCCTAACGTAAGCAGAAACTGTTGGCCCTTCAGATGGGGTTAAGCAGAACCACGGTGAAAAGGGTGTTAAATAAAGACTTAGGGCTTCGGGCATATCGAAGAAAAACAACACATCGTTTGAATGGTCCTCTAATGGACCTGAGACTGAAGAGATGCCGCGCTTTGGTACGCGGGAAAAAAATATCGGGAAATTCTTTTTTAGGATGAAAAAATTTTTACCGTAGAAGAGATTTACAACAAACAAAATGATAAGGTGTACGCACACAGTAGTGAAGAAGCGAACAACCGTATTCCGCGTGTCCAACGAAGTCATTTTCCATCCTCCCTCATGGTATGGTTGGGAGTTTCTTATTGGGGCTTAACAGAGGTACATTTTTATGAGAAAGGTGTAAAAATGAATGCAGTTCTGTATCAAAATACAGTCCTGACGAACCTTGTGGAACCTGTTTCTCATACCATGTTCAATAACAGGCACTGGGTATTCCAACAAGATTCGCCGCCAGCTCATAGAGCGAAGAGCACACAAGACTGGCTGGCGGCGCATGAAATCGACTTCATTCGGCACGAAGACTGGCCCTCCTCCAGTCCAGGGGCCCAATTCTCGCGGCGTAGATATTATATCGGCTTCGAGATAATATCGAAAGTAGGGATATCTATTGAAAATATCTACTGATGGTAAAAAATGCTATTCTCGTGGATTTTCGATATTCCAATGATATTATATCTATCGTAGATATTCTTTCACTGCCGAATGCGTTCCGTTTTTCTCGATTAAGTTAACATCATAGTCTATATACAATAATAATAAATTAGATCAGAATTTTACAAGCAACAAAATGATATTTTATGAATTCCATTCATATTAAATATGAGTATACATTTTTTGAGTATAAGAAATCTCAACTTTACCTAAATTGTATGCGTATATAATTTCAACGTTAAGTATAATGAAACGTCAATATTATTTAAGATTCTCCCTTTTCAGGGAAGGCAAAGGGAACAATGCCCATAAAGCCTAGTCTTTAGTTATATTAATCTTCTTTTTTTTACATTCGAATGTCGGTGTGACGCATTCTAATGTTTCTTGGAGTGTTTGGCACGAAATTTATGGAGTTGGCTTTTTCTCTAAGCTTCTGTGAGGTATTCAATACTACAATAAAGTTCTCGCGTCCACTTGACCGGAATAGCGAATATTTTAAGATTCCACTAATTCTTCAGTTGCGCAGACGGTTGTAACACCAAATCACACCAATTTTATTTCACAATATCCACTATGAACGAATTTTAGAATAATTAAAATAAGATACCAACCACACTCGCAGAAATCCCGCCAAAACTCCGTATCGTCAATAAGAAAATGGTGTCGATTCTGGCATGATTCTCTAAACCTAAACGTAAATTTGACAACAGTGTATCCTTGTCATTCTCCATACAGAATGAAAATGAGAGACTCATGTTAAATTTAGTTCTAAGTTTAGAGAATCGTGTCAGAATCGATACCAATGTCATTCATAACTTTCAAGATTTCTAACCAAATTTTTGTTTAAACGTAATTTTTTTATGAAGTCGACGTCCCTCATTTCAAATGGACCCTCTTGCTCTCACAACGGCGGCGCCTTAGCACAGCAGCAGCAATCACGTCATTTATTAAATCATTGACGAAAACATGAATCAACTCATCCATCGTTAATATAAACTGGTGTCGATTCTGGCACGATTCTCTAAATCTAAACTTAAACTTGACAACTGTGTTTCCTTGTCATTCTCTATACAGAATGAAAAAGAGAGACTGATGTTAAATTTAGTTTTAAGTTTAGAGAATCACGCCAGAATCGACACCATTATTTACCTACTTCTTTATTTACTAATTATTTATGAAGGCAGTTAACAACATCTTGAGGTAACAATAATTGGCAAAGACACACGACAACACAATAAATAATAGGTAAAAAAAGTGGAAATAACAAGATTGACATGCCAAGATCCATAGATATTTATATATCGAAGGCTCTTTACCAGTCGATGTATGTCTACTGATCATCCGTAGATAAATATCTGTTGCGACATGGTGAGAATAGGGCAAAAAGGTTTTCCTTCGATAAAAGCCAGATCATTCGATATATATCGAAGGTGATATAATATATATGCCGCGAGAATTGGGCCCCAGATTTGAGTTCGTTAGATTACAAGATATGGCAACACTTGGCGGAAAAGGCGTGCTCAAAGCCACATCCCAATTTGGATTCACTCAAGACATCCTTGATTAAGGCAGCCGCCGATATTGACATGGACCTCGTTCGTGCTGCGATAGACGACTGGCCGTGCAGATTGAAGGCCTGTATTCAAAATCACGGAGGTCATTTTGAATAAACTTTATTGTCATAAGAATCTATGTTTTGTTAAATAGTTTTGTAAAATATAAATGGTTACATAATGAATAAACTTGTTTCAATTATTTTATATTAAACATGTGACAGAATTTATGACCTGACTAGGTATATATAAAATCTGGCCAAGACTACGATTTCCCATGTTTCGGGGCAAATGGAAATTTTTAGTGCTGTATATTTCAAAATCTTTCAGACCTACATCGCATTATTCTAAACGTAGGCTAAAGTTAAACCTGGACTAAAACTGACGCCGTCACTTTTGTTTGCTAAAAAGAAGGCAGAGAAAACATTAGGTATAAACCAAGACAAAGTAAGTCTTGGTTTAAACCTAATGTTGTATCTCTAGTCTGCGATTTGGTATAAGGGGGGCAGAGTTTAAATGACATTCATATCGTAGAAAATTTCGTCTACTTTAAAATGGCTAGTATTGCTGCTAGTATGGCTAGTAACTGCAAATCAAAAAAAATACATTTTGTATAAAAAATAATTTCCAATCCTAAGCAAAAATACTTATTGCACAGAAAAATAGTCACCTCAAAATATTCTTATATTAATAACAATTTAAGTTCGTGACGCATCGCTATTTATTTAAAACTAAAGCTTTTTTTAAGAATGCATAGCTAATAATAACCACCTCACAACAAATATATTACATCATTTTTTTTAATACAAAGCTGCCATATATTTATCTCATGCAGCAGTTTAACTAAATGAAACACCATTTTAATTGACATAAGAATCTAATTATTGAAGTAAAACTTCTTTAGGCACGCTTGACTTGGGGAGTAAGCTGGCGAATGTGTTACGATTTACGTTACGATTAGTGTCATTGGTGACAATACCCGTCACAAAATACATGAATCTAGTGCTTGGTGGGTATAACGGACCCAATGCGGATTGGATGGTGATAACGGACCCAGCGCAGACTGGTGGATGTTAACGAACCCAGTGCAAATTGGTGTGATAACGGACCAGGCGTGAATTGGGGGGTGATAACGGAGCCAGCGCGGATTGGTGGTTTTTTTTTCCATTAACAAATCTTCAGGTTAAGTTTATGATTTTCAGATCATTGGAGCTAAAGAAGTTTCACTTCATGCGTGTAAGCACACTCGCTTTATTTTTATAACCATCAACATCAACCAAAAGTGTCCCAATGTTGAGCAAGTTTTGAAATGCTTAATGGGAAACCTGTTGCAAAAATAGTGGTTTTGTTATGAGTGCAAGTATTTTGCGTCGAAGCCCTAGTTAATTTTCTATGCAATCGGTATATTTGCTGTACAATCAGTATATTTGCTGTGCAATCAGTATATTTGAAATGAAAATCATATTTCTGTACAATTAAACAAGTTTTTTGTTGCTACAGATTAGATGAATATTTTTGAATTATTTTCAGCACTAGTTTTGTTCAACAAATGTTTTGTTTGTAGTAAAATAATTATTTTGATGTAAAAAGTATTTAATTGCTGTAAATAACTTGATGTGTAGTAACTTATTTGCTGTGCATTTAAAAATATCCACTTTAAAATGTCGATATAGACTAGACAGGATTTCCTTTAAAAAAAATTAACCAAGAAGTCGAAAGAAGACCGAAAATGCAGGCACCCGCAGTTTGCATAGGTCTTTCAAAGCTGAAAATTAGTTTTGATACTATTGATAACTATCCTGGCAACATACCAAAAAAACAGCAAAGTGCTATTTATTGCAACCTACTATGTCTTATTAAATGGCTGGTCTATGTTGTGTATCTAATATATTTCATAATAAATTCCGGACACATCTATCGGCCCGCTTAGTGTTATACGGTTTCAACGGTGCAGCAAAAATATATAATATTATGTTTAAGGTTGAGCAATAATTTTAAAAAGTCACGAAAAGATTAAATGAAAAGTTTAATTGATCAGCTTCAAAACTGCGTACCTGGGCACTAACTTTTTGCTCAATGTAACATTTATTTTTTGCTAGGGTGAAAACTTGAAATGCTAGGCGCGCCGATAGATGTGTCCGGAAGTGTAGTTAAACTTTACTTACGTCACAAAATCGTCGACAGTCAGTGGATTAGGATAGGCATTTTCTATCATGTCTAGAACTCTCTGTTCTGATAAAACTGGTGTTTGACATGACATTGACTCCTCTATAAAAGCTGCAAGCCAAAAAACAGAATATAAAATATCCACCCGATAGTTTTAATTTTTTTGACCTAATACACGCAGGAGACTTTCTATAAATGTTAAACTTGTATTAAATATAAGAAAAAAGTTAATCAGGTATATAGCCAATAAATTAGTGTGCTTTTGCTGTTTAATTTATTGTAAAGTTTTGTGAATTCCACCTACGCAAGTTAGATACGTGTCTTAAGAGTTAGTGAAGATAGGTATGTTACACATGTTCTCGCAAGAAGCATTAAACAATTGCAAAATGATCTTGAAGTAATTTTTTTGCTAGACGGATTTGTGGGGTGATTTTTGCTGTCTTTATGTTCTTTAATCGATTATCTTTCTATGATTTGCCTGATACTTATGCCATTGGCTTAATTATTGATTATTCAAAAGCAATAATTGTCCTATATCCGAATGAGATTTTTTCTTTAGTTCTTGATTTCAAACATAAATACTAAGCTTAACTCCCTTTCAAAAGTTAAAACTGGCATATTTTTAATTATATAGGCTAGTATTTAACTGCAAATCAAGAAAATGTCATTTTGTATAAAAATTAATTCCCAATCCAAAGCAAAAATAGAATATGTGCACTAAGCACAGCAAAATAGTCACCTCAAAATATTGTTATATTAGTTACAATTTAAGTTCGTGATGCATCGCTATTTATTTAAAATTAAACCTTTTTTAAAAATGCATAGCTAATAATAAACACCTCACAACAAATATATTATATCATTTTTTTTTAAACAAAGCTGCCATATTTTTATCTCATAAAGCAGTTTACCTAAGTGAAACACCATTTTAATCGACATAGGAATCTAATTATTGAAGTAAAACTTCTTTAGGCACGCTTGACTTGGGGGTTAAACTGGCGAATGTGTTACAATGTCGCGTTGCGATTAGTGTTATTGGTGACTCATCGGTAAACAATACCCGTCAAAAAATTCATGAATCTAGTTCTTGGTGGGTGATAACGGACCCAGCGCGCATTCGTGTTTTTTTTCTATCAACAAATCTTCAGGTTAAGTTTATGATTTTCAGATCATTGGAGTAAAAGAAGTTTCACTTCAGTCGTGTGGTCATAAGCATAGTCGCTTTTTTTTTATAACCATGAAAAGTGTCCCAATGTTGAGCAAGTTTTGAAATGCTTAATGGGAAACCTGTTGCAAAAATAGTTGTTTTGTTATGAGCGTGAGTATTTTGCTTCGAGGCCCTGTTAATTTTCTATGCAATCGGTATATTTGCTGTGCAATCAGTATATTTGATATGAAAATCATATTTCTGTATAATTAAACAAGTTTTTTGTTACTACAGATTAGATGTATATTTTTGAATTATTTTCAGTGCTAGTTTTATTCAACAAATGTTTTGTTTACAGTAAAATAATTATTTTGATGTAAAAAACAGAGCGCTAGTGAATTCATTCAATGTATGCATTTACCAAATAAATAAAGCACACAGAGCATAATACAGCGTCTGCCAAGTCATTCTATTGTAGTAAGTGGAGTCATGGTGATTTTATAAATTTTTGAAAACCCCACTGGGACCTTACTTATGTCCTTCCCTTTGACTCAAACTATTTGTTATTTGTTATCAAATGTCATTTAAATCGGTTTAACGATATAAGCGCGAAGAGGCAACAGGCAGACACACTTTCGCATTTATAATATTAGTATGGATCTTCTTCTTGGATATCGAATGATTTGATATAATTTATATTAAAAACATACCTATAATTTATGTTATTATACTATATTATTATTATACTATATATTATATATACTATAAAAACATAACTATAATTTATATTATTTAAAAGTTTCTGTGTATAATTAAAACCATAACTACTGAATACATAACTAAATACCATATATAAAAAATAATTTGTGGCAGCATAAGGCATCGAAATTAAAATCTCAGGAATATGGATAAACAAAACTATTGATATTACAACTTTCAACAATGAATAGTAGCAGTTTTAGAAAAATAGAACAAAGTACAAACCGCTATGATAATCAATATTTAGGATTTAAATAGTAAGGATAATAGAGAACAGATGGTGAGTTAACAGACTCCATAATGCTAGTTTGTAGTGATGCAACATAATTCTGTTTTTGTTCGACCATTTTTTGTGGCTTGCCCTGTGTTAAGCGGTAGCACGGAGCGGACGTCCGTCACGGAGATCAGCTTCTTATAGCGCCGCACTATGTGGAGGTGCCTAAGAGAGCTTGGCCATAAATACATTTTGTAAAAATCGGCGCAGGTACTTGTATTATACCTCAAACTATAGCTAAGAAGTTGATCTACTATATTATGTATAAATTATGTATGTAACTAGTACTTTTTTATAGTAAAGAGCATCTAAATACGATGATTGAAAAATTATCACGAAAACATCATAATTTGTTATAATTTTTTTTTATTATTTTTAAAGCATGTAACTGCTTGATGTTTAAATCTGTGGGTTTACCTATAATGCGAAGAGATGGCGCTGCCTTGCAGCTTAAGAATAGCTAGAAGGAATTTCGACGCGGTCCGTGAGGGCCGCGGTAGCATAATTGGTCAGTGCATTCGCCCGGATTGCGAAGGGTGCGGGTTCGAGTCCCGTCTGCTGCCTGGTCCGCGTGGAATTTTTTCTAGTTATATTTTCTTTAGATCATAATTTGTATTTTTTTTCAGGATGATTTTCTAGTAAGCTAGCAATGAAAATTATACAAGTATTATACCATTTTAGAAAGCTTATAATATATACTTTTTTTTGGTATACAAAAATATGCTATATATTTATAAATATATTTACTAGAAATATTTATCTCATGACATATCATTTTTGCGTATCTGAAACTTTCAATTAGAGTTTTGACAGTTGCCGAAATTAAATATATAGGAAATTTAATATTTTTATACAGGAAGAAAAAAAAAGTTACAACTTCATTGCACAACATAATGCTATCTATCATAACATGAAATAGTAATAATTTCTTAAAAATACGTGGGCGAATCTATTTGTTTTATTAGTTGATATAGGTTACACTTGTGATATATTATTAATTGCGGTTTATGTTTTGATAATGTATGGAGTATTTCTCACCATTTTTAGTTCGCCTACAAAATAAATTATCAATAAAACACATAGGAAACCGAGTAACCACAATAATGATAAATAGTTTTTATTCCCATACTTTGCATACGTTTCAAATCAGTTATTTAATATAAAATAGAGCATCTGCATACTGAATAATAACATACTGTTTTTCGTTCGTTATTGTCGTTACTAAAAGTGTATCTAACCACCTACTCTCTCGCAATGAGTGAATTCCAATGTACCAGACGCGACCTATGTCTTGTTTTGATTGAAAGTGACGGGAATTATGTTGTTGCTTTAACAAGTTATATACGGAATAATTTTATCAACTTTTCTGAGGCAAATATCGCTAAAATTGTCACGAGTGTACAAAAAAATCTTATTACGAACTTTCGTCAACGCTACACTAAATCTGGCAGAAATAAAGAAAATTTTTTAAATCAGAATAGCCTGTGGTTGAATGCCACATTCACAGTAAATCTGGAAGATCCTACTTGTGAATCTGAACCTTCGACATCGACGGGGAAGCGAGGACGCCCTTCTAAAACCTACGAAGACAGTTCCGATAGAACACAAAGACGAAAAAACAAGGAGTTGCTTGAAACATGTGGCCTTGATTTTATACTGAATTCATATCTTCAAGGATTGAGATCTCAAGGGGAAACGGAAGAAGCATTCATTGTCGAAATTTTACGAGTATTACCCATAGATAAAAAAGTGAAATACGTCAAAATCTTTTAAATGAACCGGCACATTTAACAGCGTACTCTAAAGATGAAGCTCTCAGTATTTTTATAGAGTTGGACCTTAACATGGCACAGTATGAAAACACGAGAAATTGCTTAATTGCGAAGAACTGCGTATTATTTCCGTCATATAAATCAATTCAGGAAGCTAAAGGAATGTGCTACCCACCAAGATCAAGCATAGAAATTAATAATATTACAGCAAAAATAAAACTGCAAGATCTGCTGGATCACACTATTGCAAGAATTTTGAAAATCAATGGTGTATACAAAGCTGGCAAAAAACATTTAATGCTGTATTCGAAATGGGGCTGTGATGGCTCAAGCGGACAAAGTGAATACAAGCAAGTCTTAACTGAAGAGGATGAGTTAATTTCTGACACAAATTTATTTATATCTTCATTAGTACCTCTAAAACTTGTTGATATTACTACAAATGAAACTTTGTGGGAAAACCCTGTTCCATCATCAGTAAGATTTTGTAGGCCCATTTTAATAGAATTTTCAAAAGAGACACCAGAGAAAACTACAAGTGTAGTTAATGAAATTATAGCTCAAAGAAACGCTCTCACAACAAGCTTAATCAATAAAAATGGTGAAAGTATTGAAATCAAACACACATTATTTTTGACAATGGTTGACGGGAAAGTGGCTCAAGTTTTGTCAGAAACTTCATCAGGTGCTGTATGTACTATTTGTGGTGCAAGGTCTACAGAGATGAACAATTTAGAAAAAGTACAAAATAAACCTGTTGACGAAAATTCTTATCAATATGGGCTTTCGACTTTACATTGCTGGATTAGATTCATGGAACTAATTTTACATATATCTTATAATGTAGGCTTTGAAAAATGGTCTGCTACAACGACAGAAAATAAAGATTTGAAAAACAAAAGAAGACATATGTACAAAGAAGGTTCAGAGAAGAACTTGGTTTAAATATAGATAAACCTAAGCAAGGTTCTGGTAACAGTAATGACGGTAATACAGCTAGACGATTTTTTCAAAATTATCAGTGCACTGCAGAAATTACCGGTGTGGATGAGGAATTGATAAAACGATTTTATGTTTTACTTCAAGTTATGTCTAGCGGAAAAGTAATTAATGCTACGAAATTTGGACAGTATGCTTTCGATACAGCACAACGATATGT